ATCTGTTTCAGCCTAGGACACCGAGGTTGTTTCTCCCGAGCTTCAAACGGAAGGAGCTCCGCCATGGGGCCTTTGGAAAAGGACTAAGCTGTGTGGTAAGCAGCTCTCACTTACAGCCATCCCCAAAGGTGGTTTGCAATGTCCTTGAGTCAAAGCCAGAATCAGTCTGAATTCAAGGGTCATGGGCTTCTCTCCTTTAGCCTTGTGTGTTATATTGATTTTCCTGGCTTCAGTGCTAGGGACCGAATTTTACAATCTATTTTTCTCTATATCTGGCGATCCTTCTAAAATAGAATGGTATGGAATATGCTTAACATTTTTTTTAGACAGTTATACGTTGCTTGTGGGAGTGGGTGTGTGAGGGTGGCCGGACATGTGCACACCACAGTGTTCATGTGGAGGTTAAAAGACAATCTCCATCCTTCTATCATATGGATTCCTGGAACTGAGCCCTGGTTACCAGGTCTGGGGACAAGTGCTTCTACCCCCCGAGCCAGGGACTCCTTGCTTGAGCCCACTGGATCCAAACTTCTGGAATGAGACCTATGAATTATTTTCTAAAACCTCCCCAAGGTAAATTATACTGCCCAAGATTTAATATTATAGGTTTCTTTTCCCCCACCTTCCCTCCCTCCTTCCTTCCTCCATTCACCCCTCCCTCCTTCTTTACTTTCCTCGTAGGCTAACCTGAAAAATCTTACCACCACCAACAGTAGTTCTGAAAGGCAAAAGATGTTTCACACCAAGGCACGGCCAATGTATAAGTAACATTTTGGAAGAAAATGCACCCAAAGGCCAGAGATTTCCTACACTCCTTCAGGCAGTGAAGAATTAAAAAAAAAAGGTGTATTCTTGTCCTTTCTTGATGTTTAGGTAAATAGCCATGTCAAACAAAGTCTTCGTGTTTTATTTAATCACACTAATCATATTCAGGTTGGTACACTTGGTTCTTGTAGGCCATCAACCCTACATTTCTAAACCAAAATGAACCAAGTTTACCCTCATTTTCCATGCAGAAATTGCCTGGGCCTTTTGATTACAATGCTCTATTCTTTCTTCGGACTTTTCTTTGGCTTCATTTCATTTTGAGGAAGAGAGGGCCTCACACAGCCCAGGCTGGCCTCAAACTCCCTAGGTAGCAAAGGATGACCTCCAGGTTATAACCCTCCAGACTCCACTTCCTAGGTCTTGAGAGCGCAGCTGTGCACCACCATAACTGGTGCATACGGTGCTGGGATGGAACCCAGGGCCTTGTGCATGCCAGGCAAGCTCTCTGTACAGGGTCTCTTTGGAGGGTGGGTCTCATGGAGCCGGTGCTGGCCTAGGATGACCTTGGTGCTGGCCTAGGATGACCTTAAACTGCTCGATTCTACTGCCTCCATTTCCAGGACACAGAGACTATGAAAAGCCCGTCTTACTTTAGTATTGGAAACCAGAACCACGTGTCCCTTCCAAGACACTCTGATGCATTGCAAGGGAGTGACTCAGAGCAGTGGGAGGGAAGCTGACGAGCTACAGGGTGATGATGTTTGGTTGCACAAATTCCTTTATGCGGAGGCTCTGTGGCATCTTCCCGGTTTCCTGTTCAGTAAGGATCAGATTCTGGGCAGGACCCCCAGACCTCTCCTATCCTCTGCATTCTCTTCCTCCCTTGCCTCTGCCCTGTTGTGTTGTCTGAGTTTTTAACTCCTAACCAGTAACTGGATTTCCTTTTTCAGGTCCACAGCCATGGTTGTGGAAGATGGACTTAATTCACCCCCCACCCTTTACCCTTCTCTTATCTGTTTCTTCCACCAAACGTGGACGGACCATCTCCTCTCCTTAACTGGGCGTGGCTTACCAGCACGCTTAAGCATCTGGCTTACGGGCGGTTCTAAGTGTAGGCCTGGTTTCTGCTTGGCTCCTTTGTTATTGCCATAGAAAGATGATAAATAAGAGCAGTCTGCCGGCCCCTGTCGGCGTGCAGGGAATGCAAGCGGCTGCATCCCACCTAGAGCTTAGAGCCATTCAGCTGAGCTCAGCCAAAGCCAGCAGAGTCCTGCGGGCCAGGCCTTAGCTTTGTCACACAGCAGGAAGCTTAAGTGTACCGTGAGCCTGGCAGCTGTTCCCACAGCCCCGTGTGTGAGACGGAACTCAACTGTGCCCAACCACGTGGAAGCATCTCCGGGGGAATGAATTCTCCTTACAGCATGAGGCAGGGCAGTCCCTTTCTTCCCTGGGGACCGGGGAGGCCAAGACACGAAAGCCTAGAAAAGCTGAGCATACTTTAATCTGAAGGCTTCAAACAGGACATGCATCTTCATGACAAGCAGACCTCTCCGTACCTGCCCTCCAATGGGCCATTGCACAAAGCTTGTTTTAAATGAAACATTATTGAGGAATATTGGACAAAGCTACCTACAGACTATGCGTAAGGTGTGTCAGTAAAAGAAACACATTCCTGCGGTTCCCGTCTCCGAAGCGTCTCATTGTATGTGGGCAAGGATTCTGAAATAAGAATATTAAAAATCCCAATTGTAAACAGCTCTGATCTCAAGCAAGTTGTACAACAGTCACTCCGTCCACAGAGGGGAGAACACGAGAGGAGGGGAAGCAGAATGTAAATTCCAGAGTAGGGAGGGCCGTCGGGAGGCCTGGCGGAGGAAACGGTGCCCACAACAGCCTTGCTCACACGCAGTAACCCTGAGGACACAGCTCCTCTGGTGCATATCCAGGGCCCATGAGGCCAATGCCTGACAGGCCGTGACAGGAGCAGGCAAGGCATCCCCTGACTCGGCTCAGCCGCTCACCCCTCTTCTCTGTCTTGGCTGTTTCACTCTCCAAGGGACTCCAAGAAGGTCCCACGTACCTACATGTGAGCTCTCCATTCTCCTGATACAAAGGTGGAAAGATCTGTGGCTGGCCATGCCCACCCTAAGCTCTTTTAACACACTCCACTGGTTGACTTGGCCCAAACTGAGCTTTCATTTAAGACGAACCTATCAACCTGCCAGTGGCCTGTCAACTCCCAGACCATAAAAACTCAAACCCACAAGAAGCACATACACACACACACACACACACACACACACACACACACACACACACACAAAGGTCACACGATTGACTCCTTCCTGTACTAACACCCCTCTCCCTAGCGTAAACGCTATAATGGCGGGTGACAGTTCAGCTCTTAACCCTTTGGGCTCTACAAAATTAAGTGTGTGTACGCGTGGATATGTGCACACACGTATATGCGTATGCATACATATACAGACACCTCCCCAGACTTTTTCTTGACCCATGCCTCCCACAAGCGACGGCAAGCCAAGCTGCTCTGAATGGTCTTTAGGAGACATTAAGGGTCTGGGGAAATCAGGGGTACGGGCTGAAGCATGCATTGGGGTTGCAGTCAGCTTGGTTATCCATGTACACAACTGGACTCTCTGAGACACCTCCAGCCCTCACGAGCCTTGGTCTGCAGCAAGAGGCAGTGCAGCTGGTACACTCTGTTTGTGTGCTCGCTAATCTCGTCTGTCAACGTGACTGCCACCGGAATCTATGAAAGCACAGGCTCCGGCTACTCCGGTAAGGGATTTTCTTGACCAAGGTACTTGAAGTGGGACAAGCCACACTAAGTATAGGTAGCGCCTTCTGGTGGTAGCCCAGATCGTAGGGCATGGTAGAAGGACTGCCTTGCTTTTTTTGTCTGTTGGCCTCCACCTTTGCTGACAACTTCATCTAACCCATTGCCGTGGCCGTTGCATTCCTTAACTGAGAGTAGCACCAGCTTCTCTGGTCTTCTCAATGTAGACCGAAGACCAGCAGCACCTCTCCCAGAATCCTCTTGTGAATCAGCCGTTGTGGGTTTATCTAGACCTTCTCATGTAAGTCACATTTTTTGTAAATCTCTCTTTAATAAATATTCATTCTCTCAGTTCTTCTGTTCCTCTAGAGCAGTGGTTCTCAATCTTCTTAATGCTGCGACCCTTTAACACAGGTCCCCCATGCTGTGGTGAGTCCCAACCATAAAATAATTTTTTGTTGCTACTTCACAGCTGCAATTTATTTACCACTATGAGTCATAAAGTAGATACTTGGCACACAGGTTATCTAACACATGGCCCAAAGGAATCACGACCCACAGATTGAGAACCACTGTTCTAGAGACCCGACACACTTGTTAGTTACTTGGCTAGTTGGAGACAGGATATGACTATGTATCCTCAACTGGTCTTGACCTGGAGCTTCTCCTGCCTCCTGGTGCACCTGCTAAGCCTCCGCTCCAGCCTCAGGGGGAGATGGCGGGCCAGAGAGAAGGTCTCAGGCAGAATTTGGTGGAATGGGTTTGCTGGAAAGACCCGGTTCTAAGGCCTGTAGACCTTCCATCCTCAGCTGCTACCTCTGTCTAGGTGTCCTGAGTCCTGAGATGGCTAGTTGACAAAGAGAAACCTCTGTTTCTGCTCCCAAATGGACCCGACCAGTTTCCTGGCTGCAGACAGGTCACCTAGCTTCTGTATTGAAATAGCCAGAACCTGGTTGAGGGCAGTCGGGGAGGCAACGCACTTGCCGAGCGATTCAAGGAGGCCAAGCCAAGTTGATCTCCCAAGCTCAGGCACAGGGCCTGTATTTTCCTACGCTCTCTTCGTCTCAATTCCAATAGCCTTGGCAAATCACATGTGGCAAACGTTCGTAGAAACCCTTCACAGTGGCCCCACAGTGGGACCCACAAAGAAAAAACAAAAAGAGAGACAAGGGCTGATCGGAGAACTCGAAAGAGGGCGTTTGGGGAAGGGCAGACTGCTTAGAATACCTCATTGGCCAGGGAAGACATCTCTGTACTGTGTTACAGGCCAGTATAGCATCAGCGTTATGGGTATTGACACTGATTCGCATGAAAGTTTGACAGCACCAGCATCTGTTTAGAAAGGCCATTCCACGGCCCCAGGGAAAGGTCCGAAGCACAGAGAAAGCGCCCCCTCCAGGACGGCGGAGGTTACTGCGGTCTTGGAACCACCTACCTCTGAATGTTATCCTCAAGCTGCTTGACTTTGAGCTCGTCCTCCTCAGACTGCCTTCTCCTGGCTTCCTCCTCCTCCGCGGTGCCTGCGGGCATACCCTGCAGCAGCCATTTTTCCCGAAGCACTTTGGACTGTGGGAAGGAGGGAAGACAACACCTTTCAGTCCATGCCTTTCTCTGGACTAAGCAGGGCTTCTCCTCCAGCCGATCTGCCCCCTCACCCCCTCCACCATTCAGGCTAGACCACTGCCTTCACCCTCCCCGACGCGGCTGCCTACTCCCACCTGGCCAAGCAACCAGGGTTCCTGGACTATTCTTTTTCCACATTTAAAAAAAAATTCTGTTGTGTATTTCTCGAGACCCTACCATGTACCCAACACTATTCTGGAGGCCAAAAACAAACAAACAAGCAAAAAGCCAATTCCTGCCTTACACACCTTCTACTCCAGTAAGGGGAGGATGAAGACATAGTTTCTGCACACGTACACAGATAAATGCACATGTGTGTGTGTTTCCCCATACATGTGGTTTATATACATACATACATACATACATACATACATATACACACACACACACACACTCATACACATGCATGTACGAATGCACCCCACAATGATTCTGAGAATTCAGGAAATAAGGAGAGGGATAAACAAAATGTTGCTATGTTTATCAGATGGGTCTAAAGGACTTTGTTGATGAGGTGACATTTCAGCAGAGAACGGCAGGAAGTGAGGCATCAGCCTTTACTGATGTGGCGACCTGGAGAAAGGAAGAACTTGAGAGAGTTGGGGATAGTGTCTGCGCTTCCTATTATTATCCTAGATGCCCCTCAACTGGAGGGTGGATAAAGAAAATGTGGTACGGTTACACAATGGAGTGTTACTCAGCGGTAAGAAACAATGGCATCCTAAAATTCGCAGGCAAATGGACAGAACTAGAAAAAAAATATCCTGAGTGAGGTAACCCAGACCCAGAAAGACAAATATAGTATGTACTCACTCCTAAGTGGATACCAGACATAAAGCAAAAGGCACCAACTCTACAATCCACAACCCCAGAGAAGCTAGAGCTCTCTTCTAGAAACAGATGGAAGCAGATGCAGGAATCCACAACTAACTAATGGGCCAGGATCCTGGAGCACAGGAGTGAGAGAGGAGAAATAATATGAACAAAGGAGTCAAGACCATGATGGAGAAACCCACAGAATCAGCTGATCCGAGCTAGTGAGAGATCACTGACTCAGGTCTGACAAATGGGGAACCTGCATAAGACCAAACTAGACTCCCTTAATATAGGTGACAATGGTGTGAATGGGACAATCTATGAGGTCATTGGCAGTGGGTCCAAGACCTAACTCTAATACACAAACTGACTTAGTGGAGTCCATTCTACATGGAGAGAGACCTTGAGAAGTCTAGACACAGGGGTGTGGGGGTGGAGAGGAACCTTGGTCCTGCCTCAACAAGATGATGGGACAGACTTAGTAGACTTCCTAGGGAAGACCTTACTGTCTCTGGGGAGCAATGAGGGGGTGGGGTGTAGAAGTGGTGGGAACTGGGATAGGAATGTAAAAAAATAAACTAATAAAAACTATAGTAAACATAATAAATATATATCTAGATTTAATAATCATGACTATTTAGACATATTTCCATATTATCAAGACTTTTTAAAAGATTTATTTAAAAAGTTTTGTGTGTCTATGTGTTTGTGTGTGTGTGTGTGTATGCGCACACATATATGAGTGCAGGTGCCCTAAGAGTCCAGAAGAGGGTGTTGGATCCCCTGGGGCTGGAGTTACAGGCAGTTGTAATGAGTTGTTGTCTGTAGGTGCTAAGAGTCAAACTTAGGTTCTCCGTAAGATCAGTATGTACATTCAATCACTGAACCATCTATCTGGCCCTGCCACCAAAGCATTTTAAAGTAAATCTCAAATACCATGACATTTCACCCATTAATATTTGAAAATCAGTCTTCAAAAAAACAAGGACACTTCTATACAACTGTAGTCCCACTGTAAAATTTCTAAGATCATGTGATATTCAGTCTATTCAGTCTTTTAAAAAAGTCCAATGTCATGCCTCATCTTAAAAAAAAAAAAAATTCAGTAGCCAGGCATGGTGGTTCCTGCCTTTGATCCTAGAACTTGGGAGGCAAAGGCAGGATGATCTCAGTGAGTTCAAGGCCAGCCTGGTCTACAAGAGCTAATTCCAGGACAGTTAGGCCTACACACAGAAGCCCTGTCTCCAAAAACCAAAAACCAAAACCAACCTAATAAAAGCCTTTAGTGACTCACATACATTCCCAGCAGTGTCTCTAGTGTGGTTAAAATCACATATGCTTCCTTTGCCAGTGTGTGAATATTCCATAGAGGGGACAAAACATTTTCACTTCAGTTCAACAGTTGGGAAAGAATAATGGCTGCTTTGGGAAATAAGATTGTAACAATGCACTACAAGAGCCTGTTTGGGCCCCGCAAAACGAAGAGCAGGACACAGGCAGGAGAGGGGCTCCCACTTTGTGGCCCTACATGGAAAGGAGCAGCTCCCAGATGTCGGTAGAGACTGGTCGAGTGTATCATGGTTAAGGACCATAGAGTACCCAGGAGTGGATCAGTGGTCCTGGGAGTGACTCATAGGACCAGTTCTTACAAGTAACAGAAGGTAACAGGAACACAAGAAAAATTCTCAGTAATGCTGGACTGAGGGATAGGTAAATAGTGTCACTATAAACCATTATAGAGATCTGCTTGATTACTCTTCTGAAGGTCCTTTTAACTGCTGAGCGCTTTTAACTGCTCAGCCGTTTCTCTGGCCCCTAAGTTTGCTTCTTAGCACACACTGTGAGAGTGATCAAACACTCTTTTCCCTTTGTAGGACTGGCAGTGATGTCGGATTTAGATTAAAACTTCCTCCTCCTCGTCGTCGTCGTCAGACTATGCAAATATTCTCCTGTGGCTTATTCTTGTGTTTCATGAGTTTATCCTTTACTCCAGATCATCCATGCATCTGTGATCTGACTAAAGTTATCATTAACTGCATTTGTAGGTGATGGTTAGACTGGATGACTTCACTTTTCTTAAAAAAAAAAAAGTGGCTTAAGACTCAGGGTGGGGTAATAGCTATTTCTGTACCTTTCCCCATTTTTTTGTGTATGTGTGGTGTACATGGGTATATGCACATTTTTTTTGCCTGTGTGTGGGCATGCATGCACATGCATGTACTCATGTTGGGGCCTGAGGCTGAGTTCTTTCCACCTGACCCACAGAGGCAGGAACCATTATTCAAACCCAGAGATTGCCAATGCAGCTAGTCTTGCTAGCCAGCTGTCTCTGGGGGAATCCCGTCTTGGCCTTTCGAGGCTGGAACTGCAGGCAGGTCATCATGTCCAGCTGGCACTGACATGGGTTTCTGGGGATCCTAACCCAGCCTGGTATCTGGGTTTTGGCTCACGCACTCTCCCATATCCTGTCCCTCACCCCTTCTCCTAACCTGTGAGTCTTTTCCTGTCCTCCTCATGATGCCTAATAAGATAATGTTTTGGTTCGGAAGGTTTAAAAAAAATGTAGGGAGAAGTCAACCCAAAACTTCTAAGGAAAGACATGGAGTTTCACCCTTCACTCCAATTCTGGTTATAGTCCAGAGACATGACAGGGAGAGTTATGTAGCAAGTACCTTCACCACTGAGTCATCCCTACTGGTCCAGGATGTGTACATTTTTATCATTGGAGTTTTATACATACAAATAACCAAGGGAAAAATCTGAATTAGTGTTAAAGGTTCAGAATAGTAAAAGATACCTTAATATCTTTGCAACAAAACTCCTGATACCTTAGGGCTGTTCCACAAATGACCTTAATGGGTTGACAACAAATAGTTTTCTCCGTCACAATTTAGTATTTGCTCTCTCTCCTCTTTCCTCTCTCTCTTTCCTCTCTCCTCTCCCTCATATTATGTTTTCCCTAAAGGAAAGGTGTGGTCTTTAAAATGTAGTAACTTTTATAGCACAGGATAGGAGAAAACCCTGCTGAGAATTGCCCGTCCCTGAGTAAGTATCGAAGATGTGACACACATTGAAGACATGATATTAGCAATTAGCTCCTGACAGTGCTGACAAACACTCCATAAATGTGGCAGCCCCCAAGGAACGCGTGTTGTGACACACACACGGAACATGTGCTCTACCCTGGGACTTTGAGAACAGACTAATAAAATAGACAAATCTCTGGCCATCCAACCAAAGGGTGAAAGAGGAGTATTAAATTCTGTCTGTGCTGGTGCGAGACACTAGCTGATTTATTTTTTTTAATTCATGTTATCCCAAGTCATATTATATAAAAAATAAAAATAAATCATTGTTTCCATAGACTAGAAACCAAAACCATCTTTCAAAAGAAGAATAATGATGGCTCTTTCTCATGAAATATTACAATATATTAACACAGCTATAGGGATTAGATGAAAATGGTACCAGCTCATGAGTAAGCAGATAAATGGGATAAAAAGAATCACAAGGTGTGAACTTGGGTGTAAGGGTGAAATATGCATGTGATAAAGATGACATTTAAATCAATGAGCAGAAGAATGAATAAATAAATCATGCTGATGGCTCGCTGTAAGTAAAAATATAAAGCTTTATTCTCATCTCATACATTATTGGAAAATAAATTCAAGATAAATTAAGACTACTGAAGCATAGGCAAGCACTGGACATGAAAATTTTCCCAAGCATGACTTAAAAAAAACTACAAGTAACATAATGACAGATAAGATTTCACAAAAATTAAATTTTTGGCTTGAGAATTCAGAAGAGCCCACATATAAAAATTGTTTTAAAAAAAGAGAATCTGGATATAAATGTCAATATAAATTAATTTCACTCCAAGGCTGATGAAGCCTGTGACAAGGACTACCAATCTTAATCTACAGAAATATATTGGGGTTATATAAATCATATACCATGTGGGGAGAAATGTCTGGATGGTAAGTGCTCAGTTGATTTTTTTATGACGTTCTTATTATTTGTTTTTGAAATGATGATACAATTCCTCATCTTATAAGCAAGCCAAAACTAATGTAGCATTAAAATTGCTTCTTGGTCTGATTTCTGAGTATTTCCTGGGGGTTCTTACATAAAAACATCAGTTATTAACTGAAGATGAGCATCTCAGACCTCAAGGTTTCCTGACACGGGTGTGGCAGGCAGGGTCTTGTCATTTCATACACTGGTCATCCGTCTCACTAAAGAACTACTCACGGTTGCCATGTGAAGTCACGGCACCCTATTCTGTGGCATTGCCATGCACTCCTAAATGTTGCAGTGAGTGAGGATAGTCAGCAAACATACCCGTGCCCAAACCACTACTTTGGTTTGACAGGAGACCAATAGCTCTGTCTAAATAATTCGTATCTCAGTGCATGATAATAACCATCCGTAATCCATTTGATATGTGATTATATGTGACTGTAGGTATGAGAGGGACACAAAGAACATCAAAGTTGTATCTTAGTAAGATATGAAACCCAGTTTCAATGCTTTTCTAATTTGTCTTTGCACAGAGAACATTTATTTTCTTCAAGAGTGTCTGGGACTTTGTCAGTTAGTGAACTAATTGTCAATTGCTGACATGTTTCCTCATATTTTCTACCTTGGAGAACCTGTAGTAATCATGTTGACATGTCTCCACATGGTCTAAATCTTCTGTAGCCCGTGAAATCATTCTGAGAGTAAAAGAGCCGTGGTGATGGCAATTGGCACCTGTCTAGCAAATCACCTGAAAGGACCCATCCATTCAAAGACAACTGTGTCCTGGGAAGAGCCTTGTCCATGGAAACAGACACCATGGGGGTCAGGTTAGGCACCCCCTCACTTAACAGGCTGTGTGCCCTGAGCAAATTCCTTGCCATCATGAGTTATTTTGCAGGCTGTGAGATGAGGAGAGTGACTTCTATATTGTGATGGTTGTTGAGAGCTTATATTTAAAATCCCAAGGCACATGCTAGGTCCTTAAAGGAAATGGTGGGTACTACTACTGAGTGGACAGGAGGGTGTGGAGGCTCCTGGGACGTGGAGGAACCTAGCAGCTCTCTTCTGAGAAGCTCACCGGGGATGGAGCACAATCACAGCGCATTTTCCTCCGCCTAAGCAGTGACCACCAAGCTGGAATCTGGCTGACGGTAGGAAAGATGACTCCCTACTCAGTTCAGCCAACGGTCACTTCTTTTAAAGTAGAACACACTCCCTTCTGGTGGCTGAAGTGATCCATATCCCTCCCCCTTCCCCCAGTCAGACACCCTCTTCCTTCTATGGAAGTCAGTCAGCTACTCAGCTACTTTCGGGAGGCTGAGCTCAGAGCAAAGGGAGACAGCATCAAGGCTGCTTTATGTGAGCACGGTAAGGCCTCTCCTTGTCTTATCAGTATTCCCGCTTCCTTTGTCCCACTGTGGGTGGTACCCTGATGCACACTGCCGCCTTTGGAATTTTGGGTCTTTTCCTTGTTAGTTTTTGAGGGAAGCAATCCATCCTCATTCTACACAAGCCTTCCCCCAAGAGGGGAAAAGACAACGCGTTGGTCTCTGCTTACTAAACTACCAATCTCCTTGAGATTACCATGATGCAAGATTACCGGATTACCAGATTACCATGATGCAAGTGTCTCCTGTACCCTTGACAGCCAGACTCAGAAACTGCTGAGTGCTCATGTTACCAAGCCCCTCATGGAACCTCATGGCTCCCTCACATAAAATGAAGTTCTATTGTTTCTTTAAACTGGATGGGTGGGATGGATGGATGGATGGATGGATGGATGGATGGATGGATGATGGATGGATGGATGGATGGGATGGATGGATGGATGATGGATGGATGGATGGATGGATGGGTGGAGATGGATGGATGGATGGAGGGAGGGATGGATGGATGGAGGGATGGGTGGAGAGATGAGAAATGGATAGATAGAGTATGAACAGACCAGTGTAAGACTGTGCTGGACACCAGCAATAAACGAGTTCTTGTCCTCTTCTTATCTGGCACTCAGAATGATGACGAGAGAAGAAAGGAGCATGGTCTCTGACATGCTCACCTTCTGACTTTGAATTAAGGAATACAAAAGCCCTGTGCTGTGCCGAGGCTGGGAGGAGGGAGGCTGTTGGCCGAAGCATCCACTCTTACAGGAAGTTTTCCTTTTAGCCCAGGATAGACCGAGTTCTTAGTATATGGCTCTCTTCCACAGGGGGTGAACTGCCTACACTCTGGGCCAGAGACACGGCTCTCTCCAGACTGGCCTGTGAAATCTTAGTGTATGCAAGCCCCGTCTCCATAGAAAGATGATCCTAATTTTAGCCTCAGTCCTCCCGGCCGGGACTGTTGTCAGGGGACAGTGGCAGCATCAGAACACAGTGCAGGCTACTACACTGGAGAAAGGAGTGACAGGACAGACAGAAAAGGACAGACAGAGCCATGCTGTCTTTCTTCCTTCCAATCACGTCTCTGGTTAGAGTTCATGGTAAGCTCATGTATGCCCAGCAGATATAGGTTGGACCGCTCTTCCAAACCACGAGCCAGATGCTTCCTCATGAGTCTCACTCTGAGGACTCATTTAGCACAACCTGGTTTTCCCAGAGAACAAGACATGCAAGAGTAAAGACCCACTTGGACTCAAAGAGCCCCCCGATAACACACACACACACACACACACACACACACACACACACACACACACACACACACGGCAGGACCCCATGAGCAGTCCCCCACCCAACTAGCCCTCCAAGAAAAAAAAATGACTCTGCACACACAAGGTCATGGCAACTTGAGGCCAGCAGGAGGTTTTCCTTAAAGAAAGAAAAGAAGAAAAACCCAGGAACAGTCAAAGGCAAGCAACAACTCCCGGCTGGTCCATGAACACGGTCACATTATTATCTGAACATGCAGGAAGCAACACTCAGCCACCAGTGTGGCGTTTGTGACAGTGACAGAGCTGTCTCCTCTAACTGTAATCAATTGCAGTGCTTCAGTGGGTTATGTTTTAAAGGGGAAAACTCGCAACCCCCCCTTCCTTCCCTCTTTTTAATAAAGGTGCAGCAGCCACGGAACCATTTGAAAGCCGTGCTTGACCAATCACTCGTTCTAACAGGACATCTCCAACACAGCGAAGTCAAAATAAAAATAGATAGCAACCTGAAATGTCCAGTATCACCCTCTTATTAGCTCTCACTGCCTCATCCTTCCCACCTTGATCCCCACCCCCACCCCTTCAACAAGAAAGATTCTTTCCCATTTCCAGAAAGTCCATTTTTTGTGAAGAGCAGCTTTTGGAGCCTCCAGAACAAAAATACCCAAGAGAAACAGCGTGGGGCCACGCCGAGTATTCACATTCAGTTTCTCCCTATCTGTTTAGCACGCCACACAGGAACAGCAGCATCTCATGCCTGTAGCGATCAGAACGCGCTAAGGACGCCTGAACCTGAGAGGAAAGCCAAGACACACTCTTCCTGGCTGCCTGGAGAGGGCTGGTTTAGGCTGGTTCCGGCGGGCGGGCGCTGCGCCGGGTAGGGCGGGCCGGCTGGGCTCGGCGCTGGGCTCTGAGAGGTGTGGGACCTGCCGGCTAATAGCGCACAGGTTCCTGCACTGGCTCCCTTGGCGGCTCACCTTGGAGTGCTGCAGCAGCAGAACTTGCTCGTCGAGCTGCCGTCGCTTCTCTTCTATTTCTGTCTGCCTCTTTCTTTTTTCCTTGAAAACGAAGAGGGAGAGAGAGAGAGAGAGAGATGCTGTCAGAGTGGGTGGGTGTTGGCTCCAGGAATGCGAAGGCAGGGAGAGGGAGTGGAAACGGTACACATCTGTGCAGACACTTCCAGAGAGGCTGGGCGCACGCAGCACGTCACCTGCTCCACCGTTGCTGGGTGGGTTGCAGGCAGCAGCCTTCTCTGAATAGGTCTGCGGTGGGCTCCATGAGAAACAATTTCATTCAGAAGGACACACACACACACACACACACACACACACACACACACACTCTTCTCTGTGCTGTGCAGGGCTAACTTGGAGACAAAGAATAAAAAATGTCTCAGTGTTGCAACAAACTGCAGGCAGGATGAAATGGTGGCGGTGGGGCTTCTGGGGTTGAATTATTTTCATCCAAACCACACGCATATATAATGCAGCGCAGTTTTACATCTGAAAGAATAAGCCACCGAGCTGGACACACCAAACAATGCAAATGAGAAGGGTGGCCCCTGCTTAGATCAGCCTTGTGGGCAAAGCGGGTCGGGTGGGTGGGGCTTGCTTGAGGTTAGGGTAAATAAAATATGGAGGATATGCCTGGGACCAAGTGCTGTTCCTACTATGTGCCTTTCAAGTAAGTTTTTTTTTTAATCCCCCTGGGTCTCCTCAACGGAGACCACCCAAGTCGCATGGCTGAGACGTGTCTCCTAAGTGAGAAGATCCATACAGAGAGCCCGGAGCAACGTTTGGCATGCCGCAAGCATTTATTCAACCACTGTCTGCTGCTGTTTGCTTTGCCCCATTCATTTCTAGGAAATGCCTAGAAACCCAGTCGAGAGGGACAGATTTCTACCTGCTCCACTGGAATGCACACGTCACGTTTTGTTTTGTTTTTTTGCCTGAATACTTTCCCGGGGCAGACAGTCAACAGCACAGGAGTGTGACTGAGCTCATAAGGACAGAGAGGGCCTGCCCTTCCCACAGCTGACTTGCCAGCGGTTTTGCTGCCGAGGTGTACCGGGGTGTTTCACTGAGACCCTCTCACAGCTGTGGATTGCTTCCTGTACTCACAGACACAGGGAGAAGTTCGTTAGGCGAGACATATAGGCTTTTCGCAACCTAACAGCCAACCCCCTGGGGGACACAGTGATGTTGACGTCTGACTGCCACGCCTTGGCGTTCACGGAAGCTTTGCTTTTAAGCAGTGCCGCGTTTCCAGGGGTGCAATCATGTCACTGCTGTCCACATCGACGTAATAACGCAATGCACAGGCTTCAGGAGACATTAGCTCATAATCGAGAGCCACTAGAATGTGGCGTCCAAGTAGGGGGCAGAATCTCATCAGCCAAGTCAGACCCATGGGTGTTTTTAGGAACCACTTTCCAAGGGACTTCAATCCACGGCGTACAGCCAGGGCTACAGGATCCCAGAGCGTGCCCCCAAAGCCTCGAGTTTCTGGCAGTAGAGAGGTAAAGCAGGGCTCGGTAGGAAAAGCCCACCTCCTAGCATCTCTAAGGTGCTTCACGATAAGGAAGGACCTCTACCCAGGCCCTGGGAAGTCTAAAGAGTAAACGTGTTAGACCTTATCATTCACTATCATTGCCTATCAGGATATGCGGGTATCCAGAGCAAGAGACAGTATGTCGCGTACACAAGATACCCATAATTCAAAACATGCTCTATGTGTACAGTGCATCCCAAAACTTCCCTCTGCTTCCCCACCCACCACTGTATCCTTTGTTTGTATGGGACACTCTCGCTCCTAAGATGCTCTCATGTTGACAAACCATTCCCTGAACAGGAGGATTAGTACCTATTAAGCTGACAAGGCCGTCACAGTACGCCACCACCACAGTACACCCGTCCACCTCTCTTCAGAGCTAGGCTCGAGTCAAGGCACAGGCACTCCAGCAAGGGCGCGCCATAGGGGAACACACATTTGGCTCCAGACACCTGCTCACACGGACCGCTGAGGGCTCAGCCCGGCTTCCCACTTGACTAGCATTCGTATTCAGACTTCTTCCCTAAACTAAAAGCAAACCAGGGACTCTCGAGACCTCTGGTCTCATCCACCCCATAACTGCAAATTCCTGCCGCTCCCCTGAGCTCCGCACTCCCAGATTGAACTTCCTGCGACAGCTACAGGGTGGGGGGGGGGGGGAGCAAGGCCAGTGTTCTGTTTCCACGAATACATGCGGCTGGCATCTCACTCCCACCCCCCCCCAAGCATCCTCTCCTCACACCCGGAGCTTCTGTATTTGTCTCAGTAAGTTACGCCACTCCCATATTCATTTTCTCGGAAGGTTGATTCCCGCCCTGTTTTCTGTGTGTTTTTCTTAGTAGCCCCAGTGTAGACATTCTACGTCAGGACCTTTAGCATACCAGACTTCAGCGCTTACACTTCAGCTCTGTTCGGATGACTGCAGTGATTTCCTTACTGGTTCCCATTCACCAAGTCTCTGTCTACGATTGTTGCCAGAGGGATACTCTTCCATATTTTTGAAACAAGGTCTCACTGCGTAAAACCAGAGTGGCCTTGAACTTGCCTTTTTCCTGTCTCAGCCTCCTGAGTGCTGAGATTACAGGCGGGTGCCCCCTCCGCACAAGGCCACAGCAATATTCCACTATGGAAATCCCGCCTTCTTTAGCCTTTACCAGAAACCCAGACTGTCTGCCCTGCTGTACTGAAAAGACCAGATTCCTCAGCGTGGCCTAAAAGGTGGCTCTGTATCCTACAGCTTCACATAAGGAGTAACTCTCAGTCCATATTCTTCACCCTCAACAACATCCCATCCCACCCCACCCCACTCAACTTCCCACCCCCGCAGCTTCCTAACCTGCTGAGCCGTGTTTTCTTGGTTTTACTTTTGCTTTCTCTAGCGATAATGGAGGCCTCTTACTGCCTCACCTGACAAAAACTATTCACCTTGGAAAGCACAGCGTAAACACCCGCCATGCTCTGATGACAGCCTGCTGTTGGCTTTATCTTCCCGGCCGTCCTTCCTCTGAGGGATGCAGGTGTAAAAGGTCCTGGTGGGACACCAGTGAGGGTTAGTCACACACTCCCACTCATCCTGCCAGTCAGACTTAGACAGGAGTTAGCCTGAATCGCCCGCAACGGTGATTGGTGTGAGGGGTGGCATGGTGAGTCACAGAGAACATGTTTCCAGGGGCAGACACCGACTATTAGAGAAGGAACCCCTCCTTCCTCTACAGCACTGAGGTGGCACTTGTCCAAAGTGGCCGTTTTGCCAAGTGACACGGAAGAAACACGCATGCATTGGAGAAAATGAGGTCCACGCAGCGAGAAGCAGGACAAAGACAGGGAACAGGATACTAAAACACCGTCTGGGCCCCAGGTTTACCCAGGCATAAAGCCAGAGCCATCCTTAGAGTTGCTGAACTACCAACACCGGAACATCGACCGGTTGCTTAAGCTGGCCCGCGTGACTCATATACCGCAGCTGGAAGCCTGCTGTCCATACAGAAACTTTGCCCTCCCAAGGCCTTATCACACCCTCCATTCTCTTCCTTCTCCATAGGTTGTGAACTTTTTTTCCTTTCTTCACGGACAAGGTCTTTTTTTGTACAACCCCGGGCTGACTTTGAACTTGCCATCCTTTCACCCCAGGGATGTGGTGTCTCTTTCTACACCAGCACTTCAGATGCTCGGCTCACTCACCAACTCAGACATCTCCACCCTCTATCCAACCTCGGGCTGCTAAGAGGGCTGGGACACCGGCTAAAGCAGAGGACACTGCGTGTTGAAGGCGTGTGGCAGGCGCCTGCTGAGCAGCTCGGTGAATGGGCTGGCCCCGTTGCAACCCTCTGTGTGTGTGTTCCCATTTATCCACACCTCTCACTCAGAGGCATTATGAATTTGCACTTGTGATCAGTGGCAACAGATACATTATTGAATACACATTAGCCATTAGTCCAGCAGGACGAAGTGTCATAACGGTGGAGGTATTGACCCGTATGGATCACTATAGCTCCGCACAGGAGGAAAGGGTTGAAAAGGCCAATCTGGGGAAGAAATGGAGAAAGAGCAGAAGTAGTGATTGCAGGGGGAAAAGCCTAATGGACAACGGCAGCAACCATCGGGAGGGTCAGTGCTCCCGGGAGACATCTGGAATGAAATGAACTCAACCCATTAGGGAGATCTCCAGGTGCTCCCACTGTCTGGGAGGCCTCTCAAGCCATGCCCACTGTCTTTCTGTAAATCATAAGCTTTCCTAGCAAGTATTTTCTGGAAGTATTTCGACATTACAGACACTGCAAACCCTCGGTGTAGTAAGGGGCACTTGTTAGAGCACGGCACACTTAGTGAGTCTGGCAGGAAGCCCTAGGGGAGGGACTTAGGGAAGCCTGTCTGCCTTGCTGCAAGTTAAAGACTCCCTACCACTGCTGCTGTGTGTAATGCTGTCTGGGCACTGTGAGGGGCAAGGTGGTAGCCAGAGGCTCGGGAGGTCTGTTACTACTTCACTTAACAAAACCTTTTCAACAGCATTGCTTAAAATATCCATGAAGCCATCGTGACAGCCTGTGAATTGATCCAAGGATTGGCTAAGCTGAGCTCAGGAGGAACAGGGAGAGGCAGGAAGAGGCAGGGAGAGGCAGAGAGAGAGAGAGAGAGAGAGGCAGGGAGAGGCAGGGGGAGGCAGGGAGAGGCAGGGAGAGGCAGGGAGAGGCAGGGAGAGGCAGGGAGAGGCAGGGAGAGGCAGGAAGAGGTAGGGAGAGGCTGAGTTGGGAGAGTTTCAAGGAGCAGATACACCATTTCCTCTTCTGAAGTCCTATCCTATCCTGACTTAGGTCATGCACAGGCTCCCAGGGTCTACCAATGGGAAGAAGCCAGAAGATCTACTCAAGAATACTGTTTCTATCCAGAGGTTTCAAGAGAAGAAAAATACAAATGGTGAAAAGAGAAAAAAAATGTCAAGAGGGGAAAAAAAAAGAAGTATAAACAGTAAACTCCATATTTCTTCCTCTGATCACCCAAGGGAATCCTG